GAAGAAGTGCATTATGTGTTCAGTTTATGGACCAAACGATAAGATCACCTTGAAGATCTTTGACGAAAATCTCTTTGCGTCAGATACTTATCTCGGTTTCTATGTGTTAAATTAATCGTTAAGAGTAAGAAGGGGAACGAGAGCGGAAAAGAACTCGACAAATAGGAGAAAATTAACTGTGTTGACGGTAAAGATAACTTCAGCAAGGATAACACAGACATTCGTTATCTTTACGCGCTTATTTTATGGAAATTCCCTAACGGCTCTTGAATTACGGACAATTCTTCAATTTCAAATCTCAACTGCAAGCCTTCTACGCAATCTATTCCACAGGGTGACGCGCATGAGCTGAGAAATAGAGGGGTCAACTATCTCAGGGATAGTGAATCTCTGGAACTTGAACCGGACAATGCTGTAGCGTTCAGAATAATGACGACGCTTATGCCATGCTTCATCAGCATGCTTTTGACGCTGAACCAACTCGAGCAAATGACTTGAGGCTAAAAGGAGAAGTTTATTGCAATCTAATGCAACACCAAAAAGCATTATATTGCTTAAACGAATCATTACAGATTCAGCCAAACGACGGAATTGCACTACGGACGAGAGGTGCAGTCTTTTGCAATCTCAGCAGGCGCTGGGTGATCTTTATACAGCATTAAGAATCAATCCCAACGATGCAGTCGCGTTGAGAATAAGGGGGAGAAGTTTTTGCCAATCGTAAAAAATATGGCGATGCTCTAGACAACCTCATAAATCGTTGGATATAAATCCCAGCGATGTAGCTGAATTTTTATAACAAATCGATAATAGCTCTCTTTAGTCTTATTCTTATCATTGTACATCGGTTATATTATTACATAAATTTATTTATTATTATAAATAAAAGCGTTATTGTCGTTAACAACAAAAATTTTCCACATAAATATTAATTGGTTGTGAGTTTGCTTAAATTATATGTCGATAACTGTTAAAGATAAAATTGATTCTACTTGCACGGCTCTTTTTGTACAGTGAACCCTCCATATTCTACATTGCACGGTTTTTTTCGTTTCCCATTATATAAGTTTCACCCTCTCTATATGCACAACAATAGTGGTTTAAAGTTATGACGATTTATCCATACAAAAGACAGCGAATAAGTATTATTAATATGACAATGAAAGAAATCTTTATCGACTTCTAAGTGTAAATCATGATGCAGACGTTATCCGTCCTTCACCTTATGTTTAACGTCTTTTCTAATAGTAAAAAGTTGCCTTTGTCATCATTATTACAAAGACTTCATCGTTTACCAACATCGATGCAAAGTTTATTGAAAATCTAAAACGTCTTTGTTTAAATGGAATTATCTTTGTCGTATTAACGCTGTTAACTGAAATCTTTATCGACTTTGTAATAGAGTCACGGTTTCGCGACATCAATGTTAAACGGATAC